GGGGGGCTCTGTGTGTCTGTGTTCGGGCTGCGGTTGCTGTTGGTTGTCGTTGGAAGGCGGTTTGCAGAGTAGATTAGGTTTCCACTCCAGGCCTGGTTTCCCGACGTGGATGCGATCCCCTCCATGTAGCAGCCCCCTTCCCCCACACTCCCTGGGGACCTTCATTTCTACTCACCCCTTCCTGCTCTCTGAGCTCTGTGCTAGGGTACACACAGTCCTGGGGGTCCCCCTAAGACTGAAGACTGCCTTCTGCCCTGAAGTTCTTATTCCCTCTAGAGACGTGAAGAACTGTTTGGCAAAAGGTGATCCCTGGGAGCCGGATTGGTTCCTGGCCTGAAGGGTGTCCCAAGGCCACGGTTCCTAAGCACACCAGTAAGTCTGGCCTGTCTATATGCACTGGTGTTTGGTCTGCATTTTTCTCCACCCTCTCTACCCTGGATTTTCCGACTAAGCTTCTGACTGGAGGGATTGCTTGCCCCAGAGGGTTTGCTTGGTGTTGCCATGCCGTAAGTGCGTGCATGGTGCAAATGGTTCCATGGCTCCCTTACTTGCCTCGAGGGCGGGTGTTCAAACCCACTCACAGAGGCATACCTGGAGGCAGAGCGGATGGCTTGGCTTGTTTCCAGAAGGTCACCGCCTCAGAAAGCCAACAGCGCCGTGAGCTCTGCTCAGCACACCTCGACGGCAGTCTTTACAGAAGCCGACCATCAGGCCTTTCCTTGACGGTGCCGCCGGGCGAGGGTGGGGTGGGTGGGAGTGGGGAGGGGTGTCCAACCAGCCGCTTTCCGTGCAGTCGTTGATGAGCAGACTCAAAGACAGCACGCTCCCAGCCCTCCAGTTGATGCCAACTCACGGCAACCCTTCAGGGCAGGGTAGAACTGCCCCATGAGTTTCCGAGACTCGTAACTCTTACAGAGTAGAAAGCCAGTCAGTGACTGGACGAGGGGCTGCCCAGCGGCCAAGCCCTGACCTCGAGGTCAGCTCGCAGGTGGCCCTGCGCGGAATGGGATCCCCAGGGCCCTTCTGCCCATTCTCAGCACTTCCTTGTCCATCAGAGGGAAGGGGGTGCTCTTCCCAGTGCACAGCCCCAGAAACGGGCTGAGCCCAGGACCCCTGCATATGTCGGTGTGGAAGCTGGTGTGGGGACCCTGTCCCACCTCTCCCCTCTGAGCCCCAGGACCAGGGCTCTCTCCTTAAACTCAGAAGGCAGACTCACCTCTGCAAGGTACAGCACACAGAACTTCAGGTCTTCCGAAGAACCTGGCAGGGCACAGAGAGCAAGCTTGCATTAGAATTGGCCAAGTGCGCCCCCACAGTGCATTGGCGAGCGTGGCCAGTGGCCTCTGCCAGAAGGCCCGGTGTGCTGCTTCCTGGTAAAAAGAGGAAGAAGGAGGCAGGCACAAGGGTCAGGAAACCCCTGGAGCAAAGGTCTCCCAGGAAATAAACAGGGTCATGCACAGCTCTGGGGCCTTGCCTGAGGGTCAGCAGTGCCCCCCCCCCAACCCCCGAGGATGGCAGCTGCCCCAGCTCTCCGTGGGAGCAAGGAGTCACCGCCTAGCAGGGAGGTCCCCCTCCTTCCCACGATCTCAGTTGTGAGGGACATGCCCAGGGCGCGGACACTGCGGACCTCCTTGAAGCTACCCAGCTGCCTTGGCCATGTTGAAATTCAACACGGGGCCATTTAGCTCCTGGATTGGGCTTTGTTGCCCAACAAGAAATGTGAGGGCCAGCGCAAGGAGGTCAGGGGGAGACCCCAAGAAGGTCAGGGGAGACCCCGTCACAGGCTGGCTTCCCCAGCCCATACCCGATTCTCTGTGTGCTTCCCTACAGCCTGCCCTGGTCTCAGCTCCCATGCCAAGCACTCACCATAGCCTCTCGGCATGGTGGGCAGCAGGGAGGGACCCTGGCCTCTCTCTCTTCCAGGAGGAGACAAGGGGCTAAGTCCGAATGTGTAGGAATCTGGAATCCTGGTAACTAGAGGCTACGTGCTGTGGTGCTCACTCCACAGTCAGCAGTTCCAAACCACCAGCAGTTCCAAACCACAAGCTTTCCACCCCCGTGAAGAGTGACAGTCTCGGAAACTCACAGGGGACAGTTCTATCTTGTCCTGTGGGGTCACTGTGAGCCGGCACCGGCTCAATGGCAGTGAGTGTGGTGGGAGTCTGGCAGGCAACAGCAGACTGAGCAGTCCAACTGCCTGTGCCACTTGGAGAGTCAGCAAAGGGACGTCTGGTTCAGAGGGGTCTCGCTTTCAGCCTGGAAGCCCCACACACTCGGTTGCTGTTCGGGGCTGACCCCTCAGTGCCCTGGAGAATCCCCCACCCCGACCCCCAGCAGCCGACGGTCCCAAACTCAGCCCTTCTCCAAACCCACCATCGGGAACGGTTGTTGTCTCCATTCCCCAAAGATGGAACCTGAAACCCCAGGAGGGGAAACAGCCCACATGACTCACACATGAGCGCATGGTAGAGCTGACGCGGGAACTCAGGCCCGCCGGCCTCCAAAGCCCATGCTCCTGACCACAGCGCTACGCCCATGCCCCGCTGCTGCCAGTTGACTCCTTCATTCAACCGGGCTGTGAGCTCTGGGGGGCTGCCAAGGTGCCGCCTCCACTGCGGTGGCTGGGATGCCTGCGATGGGTGCTGAGGAGCATGCTGAGGGGGTGCTCAGAAAACACTACCCATGGTCTAACTCCAGGGGCTCCAGCAGCTGAGACCAATACACCACTGGGTCCCTAAGACTGGAACCTGGCTCCCCAGGAGGGGTGGGGAGCCCAAGCACCAACTGGACATTTTCAGGTCACCCTGGAGAGAGGGCGGCAGGCTGGGAAGACATGCCGTGGGCGGACGCTGGCTGCCTGTGAGGCAGAAACACAACCACAGAGGCAGGAAGAGACCACAATGGTGCCCTGGCTGACCGGAGGTGTCCCAATTGTTCGCAGCCAGCTCTCTGCCTGTTCTCATTACCCTGCCATTCAGCCCCTCCGCAGCCTGGAGAGGCTGGGGTGGAAGACAACAGGCAGAGGCCCTGTGATCACCCAGCCAAGAGTCCTGGGGGCAGGACAGCACCCCAGGCTGAGAGCTAGTCTCCATTCAGCCCATCATTCAGTCACCTGCCCCCCCCCCCGGGGCGGTTCTGTGCGCCCCCCCAAGGTGGTGGACCCTGGGAGCACACTTGGTCAGAGGGCTAAGGAGTCCTCAGACAAGTCACGCAGGGAGCCCTTGGACCCCGGGTGGGGCAGATTCCCAGGGCCAGGGAGGAGCCTTCAGCCAGCAGCAAAGACTCAGGGGGGCGGGGGGACACTGCATCTTGTACATCTTCGTCCCAAATTGAACTCCCTGCACATGTTCATTTGAAAGGGACAAACAACAGAGGCTGTTCTGCCAACAGAGGCGCCAGCCGAGGCCCCACATGCATCTCTTAAAAGCCTCACTCAGGCCCTGACTGCAGCCTCAGGCCTCTGGGGGCAGGAAACTGGGCACCAGGACTCAGAGAAGCAGGCCTGGCAGCTCCCACAGAAGAAGAAGGGACCACCAGAGTCCTGAGACCTCCCGGGTGAGGAGTGAGTGAGGATCCCCATAAGGGCCTAGAAAGAAATCGAAGCTTTGGAATGGACTGGGCATCATGGGGTGAGCCCAGTCCCTGTGTTAGCTGACCGCCACCACTAAGCACGCTGCCCCGGCCAGGCTAACCAGAGGCTGGCTCAAATCAAGCCCGTAGGGGAGTAGAAAGCCTCCTCTCTCTCCCTCGGAGCTGCTAGTGGTTTCCAACTGCTGACCTGGTGGCTTGTAGCTCAATGAGTAACCCACCAAGCCACCAGGGCTCCTTGCTGATCCAGCTAGGGAAGTGAAAGGTCATTTGTCTCCCACAAATTCAGGGCAGACACACACACACACACACACACACCACCACCACCACCACCACCACCACCACCCACGCAGCCAGCTCTAAAGGTTGTGGTCAACGCTGTTGAGGAGGGGAGGGCTGGCCTTGGCCGCACTCAGCCCTCATTTAGCAAAGCCTCCACCTCTGGGGAGAGGAAGTGGCCCCAGCCCAAGGAGCCAGACCTGCACCAGGCTGTGCCCACAGGCAGCTTGGCATCCGGAGGACCTCGTGGCTGCACAAGCAGGCCCTGCCCACCCAGCCTGCCCCGGCCATCGCCACCCCAGTGGAGGAGGGAGCGCATCCTGCCTCCAGCATCAAGCTTTTGGGGTTACTAGCCCAGGACGCCCCCCAGCCACCCCGAGGAGGGAAAGGGGCGGGATCATAAAGGCAACTGCCCCGCTTCTCAGAGCACCCCTGGCAGCAGGGGGCCGCCTGGGGAGGCCAGAGCCAGGCCAGAATCGGAAAGGCTGCCCCAACCTTTAGTTTCTCATCAGAGACGCTGAAGCCTCCCAAAATGGCAGGGTCGGCTGGAGTTCTACAACATGTTAGCAGCAAAGCCAAGCCCA